CTGGAGGCTGACTTGCACCAAGTGTATCTAGAGCAGTGATTTCATCTACTTCATCGTCTGTGACCTACAGAGGTTTATCAACATGAAAGAAAGGTCAAATTGACTTAAGAACAAGCAAGAAGAATTTCAAAACAAAGTATTAAAGATATGGAAGGAAAATGGGTAACAGGTCAATTAAGATGGAAAATAAGGGCTTACATGATCAGGATTGAACAACTGAAATAAAATCAAGCAATGAAAAAAAAAAATTCTGAAGGTCTTCTGAAACCAACTGAAAGAACCAGAAGCAGTACAGTGGAGCACAATGGCATTAAGAGAAAAAGGAGAAGATTCACAAACTTGTTGACCTGGTAGGGAAAAAAAAATATTTACTTAGGTCATTATGAGCATCTTACAAATCTTCAGTGATCTCTTACACTAGAGATCACCTCTGTCATTTTCCCAAATGAGGAAGTTAAAGGCTGATGTGAGAGATCCTGCAGATGTGTGTCTTCAGAGTGTGATCTCCAGTACTGTGAGCAAGCTTACTGGATCCTGAAAGGCAATATACCTCTCAGGAAGATGGGCTTGTGATAATCACAATGGAGACACCAGCATTAGCATTACGGGGTGTAGGATAATCCTTGTTAACAATGGGGACTATTTCTGCCTACTACAGTTGGGTGGAAGAGAAGAAAACAATATAGGAGCCTAACGCAGCACATAATAACCATACCTGCACCATCAGTGCTATGCTGTGCTATGCCACTCAACATGCCATCTCATATACTTCATATCAATCTTCCCCAAAAGCTATGTAACAGCAAATTTTGTGGAGAAAATCTCAGCAGTTTACTCAAGCAGTGATGAAATTGATACAAATATCCTTTATCTTTTTGTTTCTCAGAATGTAAAATAAGATCAGTTGCATCCACTGCATACCATTAAGAATCTAATGTATCTGGCCAGTTTAAGGTCTGAACCCCCTGGCGGGTTGGGACTCTAGTGTGAGCAGACCTTGAGGAATTTGTGTTCCTGGAGTCTCTGGAGAATCAGATGAGAGTGGAGATGAGCACATAAGTGATGAGGAAACTGATTTGGGGACAGACTGGGAGAAGCTGCTAAGCTCTTGGTTTTGTGATATTCAATCCCAGCGAATTGAAATCTCCCAGAGCTGGAACACCCACTCATTGTGAACATCAGTGCAGGATGGAGGTCGGGGGACAAGGGAGATGATCTCTGCTGCAGTCTCAATGATTTCCTGTTTCAAAGCTTACACTGGACACCATGAATGGGCATGGACCAAAAACATGCCAAATTTGCATCACAAAGTCTCTCCCATTGCACTCTAATAAACCTTGTCTGTTTAGTTAAGATAGTGTGTGGAACACTATTGGATTGTGTGGTTTTGTTTTGTTTTTTGTGGAACCGGGGATCAAATTCAGGACCTTGCACTTGCCAGGAAGGCAGTGGTGCCACTGAGCTAAACCTCCGGCCCTGGATTGTGTTTGTTTTAAGCAGAGAGACAAGCAGTTTGCTTGTTACATGGCCTATGATCTGACCAACATGCTCATGATAGCAGGATGGAGAGAGGGAAAGTCCTTTTGCCCACATTGGCACTAGTGGAAGAAGGGCCTGTGCATGTGGCCAGCACTGTTGAGGAAGACATTCTTCTAGCCTCTGATGGGTTCTAGGCCCCACAGATCCAGGTCAGTGTTCATCCTTGTGATAGTAACACTAACTTCTGGAGGTTGGATGAATTACAAGGAAGTGATTCCTGAAAGGTAGAAACTTTTTCTCACATCTTCTTTGTAGAGAAACAGCAGGCAATTTGAAAAATTTGATTACTTTGGTTTTTAGGATAATAAATTTGATCATGTTTGGGGACATATTCTTTTTTTGAGGAGAAAGAGTAGTTAAAAACTTTTTCACTTTTATTGCTCTCTTGTAGCTCATCACATTCCTGTGTTATTCCTGCAAACCCACATACACACCAAAGAAGCTAAAGTATATTTTTTCTATAGGACACATGTCCATGAACGGAAGAAATCCTAGCTACAGTAATGTCCTAGAGATGTTTATCTTCTTGTGTTTTGAGGGGAACCAAGCTCATTCTTTCCTGTTTTATTGAATTCCTAACATTCATTCTATGTCCATTTTGAAATGTAATTTATTTTCTATGAGGAAAAATAAGTCATAAAGGTAATTCCCTTATGTGAGCTAAATGCCTGCCTGGGTATAGCCACTTAGCTAAGTGACCTTTGGTCATTTTTTCAGTATCCCATTTCTTAAGGGATTCAGTGGGTGTCTTCAAGGAAAGCTGTCCTGTTTGTTTTCTTCCTTGAGGTTTCTATTGCTATGAAGGCTCTACATTGGTTAGGATGCACAGCAAATCCTTCTACCTGGGGAAAGCTCATAGATAAAGAATTTCCCCTCACCAGGAGATCAGTTTCAGCTAATGTCTTGTATTTTCTTAGAGACAATCTTAAAACTTACACGTATGTAAGTAGTTTTTTTTATTAATAACTGCAGAAAATCCTATGTAGCAATTATAAAAAGAAATCCTAAAAAAATTCCTAACAGGCATTATTAGCCCATGTTAGTGTGGTTAGCATTTAGTATTTGTGATAAATTATTCAAGGGTTATTCAGTTATTCATACCCTAGCTTCTTTTCTCGTTATTACAGTTTGGACTTTGGCTACAAATCTAAGGTGATAGCCTTTGCTATTAGTATATTTGGAGTTTGGTTGAGTTTTGGGTAGCGTTGGAGGACAGTATTTACTCTTATCCAGGAGTTCCAGGTTCCCTGGCTCTGAATTTCCCTCTAAAGGAGATAGGCTTTCCTCCCTGTGGATCCTTTACAGCTAGTCTACTTTAAGTGCTCAGTTTTGTGATAGTTGGCCTTGCATTTTGCCATCCAGTTCTGGAATTCATAGACTAGAAATCATGGAATGAACAAATACCAAATAAACTTAGGAACCACAAATGTGAAAGGAAGCTAAAGAATGAAATTCAGAGATTGCAAACTCAGGTCTAGAGTAATTCAACAAAATAAGAATGTGGGAGATTTGGGGATTGATAGGGTATATTTTGTTATTAATAGCAACTAGAGACACTTTTCACTGGATTAAGTGATCAACCCCTTTAATGATTTTGGACACCAACATACTGGTTTACAGTGCTGAGATATTTTAAGGTTCATTACTTTGCACTGGATCTACTCTGTAATTATTTTTAAATAATACATTTCAACCATTATTTTTTCCTACTCTTTTTGCTATTCATTAAAATCTTTCATGTAGGTACAAGAATGATGTGGAAACAGCTTTTTTAAAAATTGAAGCTGATTTTTTTTTTAAGGAAGAGCTATATAACTTGTCATGTTTTCAATTTTAAAATGATTTATTGAAACAAAGTAATAGGAATTAAAAGCCCACAGGCACCAAATAAGCTGTCTAGTCTTTGTATAATGGAATGTAACTACTAAAAGTTTTGCACATCTATAAATCAAGAGGAAAGTATGTCACATCAGGCATGGTGGACAAGATTCATGTTAGGGCTCAGATATGATTTGGAAAAGTGTATTAGTCAGTCTCATGTTGCAGGAATTTTCCTCTCTGCTCTGTGACTTCAAAACAATTTGAGTCATACAAACATTTTCTAAACTTCAATTGTATTTCTGCAATAAATCTTTTAACAGTGAAAAAATGTAATTAGGTATATTGTAATGTTTAAGAAGTCTAAAGATACCTACTTGCTATAATTTGTAATATGTTTAATATTGAATTTACTTATGATCAGTTATTCCCTTGGATGGAAAACTATCAAGATACTTTAAAAAGAATTTTCTGACTTGATGCTCATAAAATACTGGATAGACAAAATAATATAATTTTCATTATAAAGATACTCAACAAAATTTATTAACATTTCTCCAACTCATATATCCTATAAATAATAGAGATAGGAATCAACCCAGTTAGTGTGATCAGTTTCCAAGCTCTATTTTATTGGAAGATGTAGAAATCTGTGTGAAGTGGACAATATTTAGCATGGGTAGAAGATTTTATTGTTTTAATTGCTTTGTTTGTGAAGATGGCAGTGTGGTAGAGTGGAAAGAAATGGACTGAGAGTACACAGTTGGTAGACATGATTCAATCTAATAACAAAACAACATGGAACTTATGTAAAACAAATAATATTCCTACAATTACAGTATTTTATGTTTAGCCTAGGAAACAAAAAGCACAGACTTATAAATTGTTCAACTAGAGGACATGTAAGAAATGAATAGAAATGAGTTAATACATACTCAATAACCTAATATGTATCTAATATATACATATGAAACTCCTGCTTAGGAGAACTATTTTAATTAATCAGTAAATTTAGTTAATAAGTTATTTTCTTTTAAATGAGTATTTTCCTTTTAATAAGTGAGACAACATACACTGCAAAAATGTGAGAAAATTATAATTTTATCATTGAAAGTTGTATTTCCTTGTATCTACTATGCTGTCAAAATGTTATATATATGAAGTTGATTTTAATTCCTCTTTTAAATTAGTTAAAATTAAGTTAGTTAACTTTAATTTTATTTAAGAAAATTAATCTGGATCATAATAGATACAATTTTATTTGAAAAAGTCAACACATTGCATACCTATTTGTAACTACTGAAGTGAGACATTTTTGGACCCACTTCCCCCTTGTATTGTAAAAAGATATCATTTTTCTATGAAAGCATAAGATTTAGTTAAAGAGCAGAATGGGTAATCACTACCTCAAAATATTGCTAATAAAGTATAATAGTAGTTCATCCCTAGCTTTTGCATTAAATGGTCATGGTTATACTAAGTCAATCTATCCTATGTAAGTGCAAGGCTTCTTTGCTGACTTTATAATACCAGTCATGGCCTGGCCTCCTCAAACCTTGGTAATACTTTCCAGTAATATTTAATTTACAGATAAGAATAATCATACTTCTGATACATTCCAGTTGCATTTTTCTCTCTCTCAGAGTTGCATTTGGAAACTGCAATGGGTTGGCAGTGGTGGATTTTATACAGAAGACAGTACTGTTAAGCATGGGGACTGTTGACCTATATAGATCAAGTGACTTATACCAGCGACAGCCACGGTCTCCTAGAAAGAACAAGCAGTTCATTGCAGGTAGGAGACAAACAAGATGGGTTATGAACTTGATTTGTTCATCTGTTTTCTTATTTTCAGATTTGTCTTTTTTCTTTCATACTATTCAAATGCATGGTAATATAAACTCAACATTATTTATAATAAATACCATGTAAGTAAAATAAATTGGGCAGAAACAAAGCAGAATCTTTGAAAGGATAAGGAGGTGTTAAAAGTCAATTTGGTGTTGAAATTAGGAATATCTGAAGTTTCTTAGGTTGAATTTCTAAGAAATAAAATAAGAGATTATTAAATGTAACAATGCTACTAGAATCAGTGTTCTCTGGTTGAAAAAGCTGCTTACAACTTTCTGGTTATAAATGTGGCCCATTTTAAAAGATAATTTAAGGCCATTTACTACTTTTAATTTTATAAATAACTACATATTATAACTGTCACCTTTTCTTAATGGATGATAATTTTATTGGAATTTTTTCAGAAATACAATAAATATTAGTAATCTTTTTTAAATGTTATGAAAGCCGGGCATGGTGGCACACACTTGTAATCCCAGCACTTAGAAGGTTGAAGCAGGAGGATTGCCTCAAGTTTGAGGCCAGCCTGGGCTACATAGTGAGTTCAAAGCCAGCCTAAACTAGATAGAGAGACCTTGTCTCAAAAAACAAAAAAATGCCATGAAAGATGGCATTTTTGACAGGACAAATAATTTATTTAACCATAAAAGGAAAGAAACTTAGGTTAATTAGGATGTAATGCCAAATTCTGATATGCTAAATTATCAAAAGTTTATTGGAATTTCAATATATATCCATTTAAACTATTTCATAAGCAATGTCAAAATTTTATGTATTTTTTTGATTCATTGATATAGCTGGTAAAAATCAGGCAAAAGTTTTGCACATGAAAATGATTCTGTAGTAATATGTGCTATTTTAGACAATTTTTAAAATTTTTGACTCTTTTATTTAAAACAATCAACTGAATATTTAGGCCTTTTACTGAACATACCCATGGAAAAAATACTTTATAATAAAAATTTAAATCTTATGTGATGGTAGTTCTTATTCTCCAAATTGCAGTTAGGACAAATTTAACATTTGAATGTGATAGTAAACGAATTTTTCTTTTGAACTAAAGAAATGTGATCCACTGAAATTTTTCTTTGTTAACACTTCTTTTGTTAACTCTTAATATTTTCCAGTTGCTAGTTTAGACCTTCTCAGGGGCACAAATTTCTCCCACAGAGCCTGCGGGCTTTTTATAAGGATCTCAACTTTTATCAGTATTTTAGGAGAACTACAGATTTAAAGATCTACAGGCTCTATTTCCAACAATACTAGCTTTTGAAAGAATAAAATAAGAGAAATTGTGCATAAATATACCATAAGATTCCTTCATGATTGGAAAAAAGAAGGTTGATTTTTGAAAGTTCACAGTCTCTAAGGTAGGAAGATGTCAAAGGGGGGTAGTATGGCACCATTTGCAATGCTGAAAACACCAATTCAATCAAAAAAGTTTTGGATCATAAAAAGTTAAAAATAAAAAGGTTTGGATCATACAGCATCAAAGTTACTTGCTGAATATATACAGTAAGGTGAAAAAGTGAACATTTTTTCATAGAAAAACTAATTTAATTTAAACTTATCAAATCTCACAATCTAGGACTACAGTTTAGAATTTTGATGACTTTAAAGCAGAAAAAACTGATAAACTCCTAAACTTGGTGTGTATTGTATAAAATGACTACAATGAGTACTCATTTTATATTGTAAAGTAGTAAACCCTAAAATCCGTCAGCATTCTTTTTATTTGCTGGAGGATTAAAGACAATCATTTTTATATTAATGAAGTAATTACTACATATTACAGGCCAAGTAAGTGTATTATGTCAAAACATATAAGAAAAACATGCCATCATTTTCTATATTTGATTAAATAAAATTGCTTTAGCATTTTCATCATTCATCTATCACCTCTTACTTTCGAATTGATTTATTTTTTCAATATCTCCTTTTCTAATTTAATTACCTAATCTTGCTGCAATTTTTTCATCTTGGCTGTTCTAGATTCTGGTATGATATCACTTCCTTTCACTTTAGACTATTTTTCTCTCTTTCCTGTGCCTGCTGCTGATGCTGGTGTTCTGGCATGTTCCAAAGACAACTTTTGCATGCGTGGCCTGTCTAACTTTTATCCTGATTTAACGAAACGGATCCGTACTTCCTATCAGAGTAAGTTCTATGAAGGTTAGGCAAATAGCATTTTTGAGTTGTAATGCTTGACTTAAATTCTTATATCTGTGCTCAGTAATGTGTTTTTTTGAAAACACATTCAACATGCATGCAAATTTTTGTTTTGTTATGGAAATGCAACCCAATAATTTTAAAATAAATTATTATATATACATTTTAAATTATTATTGTCATTTACTCATTCATTCATACTCTTTGTTTCAGACTGGTCCTTTCAGTAAAAAAAATCAGTATTTTTTGTTTTGAGGGACAAGAGGTATGGTGTCTTTGTAAATTAAAAAAAAAACCTGATAGACCATATCAATAATAATTTAATGATTTATTTTGGAAACCTTGTACTTTTGGCCATTTTATAACATTTTTGTAACCAGTGCCACAATATTTATTTTTAGCTAAATTCCTAATTTCAGATGCTTTTTATTAAAAAAAAACAATACCCGGGTCCACATTCCTGTACATTAGTGTTAGGTACCAAATTCTATGAATAGAGAAACTGAGGTCACAAATAAAATGTTGAATAATATTAACATTTCTTATGGTAGCAAATGCATATCTAAAGATGACTGTAGTAACCAATTCTAAAAACCAGTGCAGAAAATATGAGAAGTAAAGTTGTTTATGACCAAAGGTGTAAGTCATACTAATGACATAGGTAAAATATATTGACATAAAAAACATTTACACTATGTTAACAATATATTATGTAGAAAATTAGGTTGCTTACGAGTATATATACAAGATGGCCTTACCTTCGTGTAAATTATGCATACATATATACACTGTACACACACACACACACACATATATATTCACACATATATATTGTCTGTAACCTAAATTTCTTCTGACCTCACCAGTTTGTAGATACTAGTGGAATTACATCAGTTCTAAAAACCTAAGATTTTACTGGTTTTTAACCATAGTTTAAGTTGCCTTTCTGAAATCCTTAAAATTTTTCCTTTAATGCCCAATAATATTTTTGGTCACAAATATTGTCTAGTTTTCAACTCTAGCAATGAACCCATTTGGGGTTATATCCTACCATCTGTTTCTGGTGCCTTAAGTGAAAACACTGATACATATACTGGCTTCTGCTGCTCCTAAAACAGAAAGATTAGATTCTTTGATATGTCTTGGTACTTGAAAGTTATGTAAATTTTAGTTTTCATAATAAAGTTTCATTGGAACACGGCCACATTCGAAATTCATTTGCATGTTTTCAGTGTCTACTTTCATACTACAATGGCAGCATTAAGTAGTTGCAACAAAAAGCACATGACAAGGCTTACAATATTTCCCATCCTGTTCTTCACATTAAAAAATTTGCTGACACCTGTCCTACACAGTACCATTCTTTTACACACATCTCCTACAACTACATAAAGGGTTTCTGCCAAAATCTTAGCTGTAAATAGTCTCCAGAACTTTTGAATCCCAGTTTAGACCTCTGAAGCTAGAATCCCTGTATGCTGTGTGGGTATGTGCACTCATATGCAGTGTAGTAGAAGACTTTCTAGATTGTAAGTTTGGATTTTACAAGTTTCTTCTTTTACCTGTATTTTATATTCTTATTTTTTTATAGTAAGTATATAGTGCTTTTCAGGTAAAAAGAGAGATTGTGGACTGAGGATAAAGAACAAAAGGAAGCTCTTACTTCATGAGAATTCTACAGTACTGGCCCTGTTACAAAGGTTAAACAAGTTTTGAGAAATGACCAATAATTTTTTATTTCCTTCAAAATAAAATATCAAAGCTTTTAAACCTTTTTTCAGGATCCTACAAAATATAATTCCTGTCTACATGGAATGTAGACAAATGGATTTTTTTACTTTTGTATAAAATATACTCCCTTTAAGCTGTTTGTATCTTACTACCCTTATGATTTATTCATATCATCTCCTCTCTGGAAATGCCCTGCTGAAAGTTGGCTTTGTACTGCCATCAGAGGCCTGCTTTGCCAATTTATTTGCTCAAGTGCACAGAGTTGCTGCAGTGTACAGACATTTACACAGTAGTGTCTGCAATGTTTTGATTCATTTGTATGGGTACTTATTTTTATGTTTATTCTCTACCTTTATAAGTGCATGACAAGAATTTGAAGACTGTATCACTTAAAGATTTTTAAATTTAAATTTTAAAAATTACAGTAAAAGAATAAAGAAAATTCTTTGTGTCTTCTACATCCAGCACAAGTTATGAGCTCAGTAGATAAATGATGATGGTAGACTAGAGCATGGTAGCAGGCGCTTTTCTTTCCTATGAACAGCCAGGTAAATTTTTAAATTTAAGAAATGAAAGGAAAACTAACTCCTGTCATCGCTGGGATCACTAGAATTTTGCACCAACCGATCATAATTTCTTCTAACCAGAGTTCTAAAATGTTAAGACAGAAGTAAAAATCAAGTCCTTCTAAGGATCCTCCTTGTCTCTACCAGTGGTCTCCATAGAGACCAAATAAGTCCTTGTGTGTGAATTCACATGTCCTGAAGTTGTCTTTTGATGATTAGCATTATATGTTATCCAAAGAAACTAATTATTAAATGACTCAAAATTATATTCTGGAGTTTACTTTTTAGAATAAATTTTAATAAAATTTCATTTAAAATTTAACTGTTGGCTAATATAATCTGATTATTTTTGTATAATCTCATATTAGTATAAAAGAAACTGTGCAGTCTTTTCGTGAATTGCTTCTTGTCAGAAAAGCCTACTTACTACCCCTGTTTGGAGAGACAGAACTAGCTTCTATTAGGGGTCCATTCTGTTCTGAGATTGTGATAAGGAATTTGACTAATGTCCTATTAATGACCATTATAATCTTTTGAAATAGATGTTTACTAGTAGAATCCTCTACATATTAGAAAATTAATGTTGAAAAAGATTAATGTCTTAAAATGAGAAACTAATTTATGTCTGACATTAGTGATCCCCTATAGTTTCCACTTATGAACCTGTCTCTAAATGCCTTTTAAAGATTTGTATACCTTGGAAACCAAATCTATTATTCTATAATCAGCAGTTTTACCCAGGTTTTACCCACTATCAATGAAATAACATTTAAAAATTAAATAATTTGAAATTATTTTTCTCACATTTTAAATGAGGGTACTAAATAAAGTGCTCTCTGAAGAACCTTTAGATGTCTAAACTTTTTTATTCTATTTTATCCTATTATATCAGTTTTGCTTTTTAAAATGATATCACATCCTATTTTGGACCCAATACTTTTACAATCTGGAGAAACATCTTGATTTCAGTCTTCCTGGACTTTTTACTGGTTACTTTATTACCTTGGCTAGGCTCCAATAAGTTGCCTTCCCTAAATCATTTAATTCTTATCTGGAAATCTTTCACATCATAAAATAATAAAATTGTATAGCTGAAAGGAAATTGTCGTGTTTTACAAATTATTTGTAGAAGCAATGAAATGCTTTCTAAAGACATAGACTTGTGGTGAGAAGACAGATCAAGTTCTACTTTTTCTACTTATTAGCTACCTGTTAATTTATAATCTTAAGGAAGAAATATAACTCACTCTGACTTTTTCTTCCCACACAAAATAAAGTAAAAATCATAATCCCTGCCTCCCTTTGAGAGTTGTGGAACTTTAAGTTAATATTTATAAAAGTGCTTCTATAGATACTAGATTTTTGGGGCCAGGTAATTATCTCAGTGGTTCCACCGCCTGCCTCGCATGCACAAGGTCCCAAATTCGATCCCCAGTACCAAAAAAAATTAGATGTTTATTATATATTGTAAAACAAAGGCACAGAAAGATTAAATAACTTTTCTACTATCATAAACAGTGTACCAAAAACAGGACTAAAGGTCGGTTGCCTCAATGAGTAGTGTTTTACTCATGATAATGACAGAAATTTTGCTAGTTAAAAACTGATCATATATCATTTGAGTTAAAGGAAGTTTGCAAAGTATTTTTCAGATAGCATTGTCAGAAAAAAAATTTGCTTGTGTATCAGTTTCTATTTATGTAACAGGGAATTCTTTGGAAAACATCAAGCCCATCTATGGATATTTTCTTTCTTTCAATGAACTTTTTTTTCAATTTAAGGAAGGATAGTATGTTCTGAAAAGACAAAAACAATAAAATAAAGAAGAAATGATAGAAAAGGGAAGAATAAGAGGTCTAACAAATGAGACAAATAAATATTTTTAAATGACTAGAGATAGTCCAAAATAGTAGAAAATAAAACAAAGACTTAAGAAAAGAAGGAATATCTTAAAGCAAAATAACTAAACCATAAATAGAGGAAAAACTAGAAAGACTATTTACTGAACAACTACTAGGTCATTTTTTCCAGGCATTAAGTGCACAACTGTGAGTGAAGCAGCTATGGCCTTTTCTTCCATTTATCATAGACAATATATAGATAAATCTGTTGGTGTACTTTTATAATTGAAAAAAGTTAGCAGTGCTGTGATAGAGAAAAAAATGAGATAAGAGAGTAAAGTTAGACCTATTTTTCAGTGTTGTCAGGGAAAAGCCTATCTAAAGAGAAAACCCTTAAGTGAAACTTTGCAAGATAAGAAAGAACCAGTCAACAGGACAGAGTAATAGATACCAGATTTTATCTCCTATCTGCAACAACCAAAAAAAAGACAAACTTTATAAAGACACAAGACCTAAACCAATTTTTTAAAATTATATCTGATGGATGGAAACATCAGAAATGAACCCTACAACCAACTACACCTATGTATTGGAACAGTTGCTAGACTATAGCAAGAGAGGGGAAACCTAGGGGGAAACTGGTCATCTCGCTGAGCTGGACAACTGGAGATGAGAAACCAGAGAAGCCAAAGAAGCTACAACTGACAAAATTCTAGTGATTTATAGATTTTATTCACAAAGAAAGAATTCTAGCAATCTGCAGAGCTTACTCCTCAAGCACATATATCCAAAGAAGCTACCAGGATCAAATAAAGAACAAAATGGAAGAATTAAAGGAAACAGTGCCCAA